GAATCATTTTAACATTCCCGGCTTTCCTTTTCCACTTTTAAAACACGGATAGTTTACACACTAAATACGATTATAGCTGTATTTTAATTCCTTAAAAGCAGGCCTTCTTATTCTATCACTGTAGCTCAGAGTAATAGAGGAAACTTTATGATGATGACTGATAATATAACAGTAAACAAACTGACCTCATCAGATATTAATACTCATCTGCTTTCTGCTTCGGTTGCAAAAACAAGCTCAACTTGCTGTCGCCATAACCCAAATAGTAATAATTAATAATACTTATTAACTCTTTCAAATCAGTGTTGGGCTCCTTACTGAAAAATGTTTATTACTTGTTACAAAAGTCGTATAATTAATGACTTATTACTCCCTGACAAAAGTAATTAGTTACACGGCTCGTTATATTACTTTCCTGCGTAACTCCACAATATTGGTAGATGCGCCCTTTCTCTCCGAAACACAAAAGTATGTGCGTCTCTCTCTCTCTCTGTGAATGTCAATGTAATTTGTGCAGCTAAAGCTCCAAACTTGTCTTTTTCCTGCAGCTTATGAATCCATTAAAGTTACAGGTTAAATGAAAATCACACCTGGCTCAAACTGATGACGAGACAGTATTTTAATGACTTCTGTCGTTTGGAGAGACACTACACTTTCTACTATATCTCCTGTTGCCTCCGAGTGGGATTTTCCCCGAGGATCTGTCTCAAAGACGGAGAGTCCTCCAGTCAGAAGCTCTAGTCTAGTTTTGTTTACTAAATGTGATTGGATTTGAAAACAGGGGAGTGACAACAAAACTGTGTAAAATTATCATTAGAAATTGGTTGCACAACTAGTTCCTGGGTAAAGCAATAGGTTGGAAGTTAAATTAAAGTTAACAGAAACAATAGATTACAAGCTTCGTGATTCTGGTGAATAATAAAGTACATTTAGACTTAGACTTCACTTTATTGATCCATTTACACTGACTCCCTCAAGGAAACTGAATTTCCAGCAGCTTACAAAACACTTGTATAGAAAATAACCATAATAATACATTTTATTTAAAA